TTCGGGGGGAACCCCCGTGAGCCCCCACCCCTTCAACTCCGAGACCCCCCCTAATTCAATAGGCTGGCTCCGCCCCTGGTTTTGGGTATTACATTATTGATTCCTCCGAGACCCCCCTAATTCAATAGGCTGGCTCCGCCCCTGGTTTTGGGTATTACCTTATTGATTCCTTAGGAAGTTTTTCCTTGCTGGTAAGACACTACGGAGTACAAACATCTTATTCATGTTTGTTCAACATTAAACTGATAGTTTCCTTGGGGATTTTACTCTTTTCAAGGTTAAGATTTTAAGAATAAACAGTTGAATTACTTATATCTCGTCTAGGCCAAGACAACATATAATATCAGATCGAGTCGGAAAGCAAAAGAGCTGTCTTTCAAGTTGCCAACGCAAGAGGCAGACGAGATATTTAGAAGCCAAGATCTGTCTTAATTCATGCTGTCCTGAAATCCATCAGAAGATGGGAAGAAATAGGACATTCAGTGGCTTTTATTTTAGATTTTTTTGGGATTTAACATGGAAAAAGTGGCCATCCAATGTAATTATCCTGTTAAATAACTCTATAATCAAATAAGTAGAGCTTGAGCAAATAAAACCGGGGAGCTTCAACCTTTTGTGATCTTTCTCGAGCAAGTGTCAAGTTTTTCTAGTGTATGGTGATGAGAACTCCTTTTAAGAGCTTCTCCGAAGCTCTAATGAAATGGATTAGATTTAAGACTTCAGGATTTTTACTTCATATCAACAATTCGCCGGCCCATTGTGGAAATACTAATTGAGACACATATAGTATAGAATTCGGAATTAGCTACTTGTACCGAAGTGGGTAGACAGAATTTATGCATATAACTCACATGAGTGGGTCCCGCATGTAATAAAAAATTGTCCAAAAAATTCCACCCCTCACCCTATTGTGAGGTGCCGATGAGGGTTCGGTCAACTCCCACCCCGGTACACCAAGCTCGATTCATAGAATTCAATAGTTTAACCTAGTTCGGGCTAGCGGTGGTAAGGGGCTGAGCCAAATTGGCCCTGCCCACTAGTCAAGCAGGGCTTGACCCATTGATAAAAAAGCCAAGCTTGGGCTAGCCCGTTGACCAAGGGGCTAGCCTTGCTCATCCATCAATGAAGGGTCAAATCAAACCACGACTCAATTTAATAATAGCTACCAAATATTCAGGTGATCCATTTCTCGAATTAATACATCCATTTTTTTTCTAGAAAAATAGAATTTATAGCCCTACAATCCGACTCACAAAACCCAAGAGCACACGTGTCAAACTTAGTTCATCTAAAGCTCGATTTAATGCAGGCCTAGACACCTAGGGATGGGCGCGGGTCGGTTCGGTTTTTTTCGGTTCCAGAAATTTTCGGGTATTTAGTAAATGGAACCGTCGGTTCCAAATATAATTTTGGAACCGTTCGGTTTCGGTTCGGTTCGGTTCGGTTCGATTCTATTC